ATTCAACAAACAAACAAAGTGCCTGTCACAAAAACGTGGTCAACTATATTCCATAAATCATTTTCACAAGGTAAATATCCCTGGGGTCAGATTGACCCCAAGGACCAAATTTGTTATTATATTTGAGGACGATAGRAGGGATATGTGAGGGAGGAAATTTAAGTCTTAACGCAGAAGGGTTTATGATTCTCTTGATGGGAAATGTTCCAATAAAACAAGGAGCCAGTTCTGGGAGTGTCCCTTAACTTGATGATCCGGGTAGATAACCAAAGACTTTGGTTGACCTGGTAGGCAGGAACAGAGGAGCGGTGACAGTTGTCAAATCATTTATCTTGCTCAGCAGTTCTCATCAGCGCCTGCTTTGTCTATCGCCATACTCTGTGGCATCTGAGGATATGAGCCTGAACAGAAGGCACCAAAATGTCAGTCTTGGCACTAGGAAACAGGGGAGRTAAGTAGCCTAGTGAGGCTTCAAATGGAGACAAACCAGTTGCAGATGAAGTCTGGGTATTGTGAGTATATTCAATCTATGGCAGATGTTTACACCAAGCAGATGGGTTATTATTGATTAYGCACCTCAGGACTACCTCAAGCTCTTGGATGCATCTCTTAGTCTGGCCGTTGGACTGAGGATGATACCCTGAAGTCAAGCTGACAGATACTCCCAGGGCCTTACAGAACTCATTCCATACCTGAGATATGAATTGTGGTCCGCGGCCAGAAATAATGTGATTGACCAGGCGTTGAGCAATCTCGAAGGCAGAAGTTGGAAATGGGGACTAAATGGATAGCCTTGGAAAATATGTCAATAATTGTGAGGATGATGCTATTTACCTTTGGATGGGGGAAGTCCAGTGATGAAGTCCAGAGAGATGTGAAACCAGGGGCGACTGGGTAAAGGTAGAGGTTGGTAGAGGTTGTAGAAGACCAGCAGGAGGTTGGTTATTGTTCTTATTACAGGCACAGATGGGATATGCAGAAACAAACTCTTTGATGACATGACTTAAATTTGACCACCAGAAGTGTGTTTTGGTGAATGATGTCATACGACTAACTTCAAGATGGCAGGTGAGTTTGTGATTATGAACTCAGTCCAAATCCTTACTGACAACAGCAGTGGGGACAAACATCTTACACATGAGACCAGTATCGGGGTCAGGCTCCAATTTCTGGGCTTCTTCGATGTCTTTCTCAATGTCCCAAATGAGGGCACCAACAACACAGGAGTCTGGGAGAATGTTAGTCTTGGCCTTGGACTACTCAGGGTGAGAGAACTGACGGGAGAGGGCATCGGGCTTGATGTTTTTGGAGCCAGGTCTGAAGGTAATCAAAAAATAGACTTCTTTCTTTAAAGTTCAATCTGAACTAAGTGATTCCTGATTATAATGCACATTGACACTTTCAATCATTTTGGATTTTGTCCCAGTGAGTACTCAATTTGTCTTCCCGTCCTCCTGATGTGTTTCATCATCTTCTTAATGTTTCACCTGAGCAAAGAAAAAACAAGTTAATCAGAATTAATCGTCATAGCCAACCAGAAACACAAGTAAATTGTGGAAGAGAAACTTTCCAAGAAACTGGTGAATTTATCTGTACAGGTCTGAGAAATTGAGCCAACAAAGAGTTGCTTTTTGTCCACCAACCTTCTCATCAGCTGCCTCTTCACTTATCCCTAATGCTGCGTTCACACCAAACTCAATTTTAGTGTCAAAAATGCATCCAACGCTTCAAGTTGGACCCTTGTGCACTTTGAGGTCAGATGCCTGTCAAAACTACTCTTGATGCACCTCTGCCGGTCTCTCCTCCTCTGCTAGTCTCTGTTTAATGGCGGATGAAATAAAGACAGTGTCTTTGACAGAGCAAGAGCATGTTATGCTCACCAGATAATTAATTCATAATTAATTCACCAGACAATTCAGAGACATTCTGAGTTTGGTGAGTTTCTCCACTCCAGAAGCTGAGAGCTGACGAGGTTCAGCTCTATTTTTGTCCCGATCTCTGTTTGACGAGCAACAGTCCCACATCGGTGCCCACACCTCCTGCCAGGACACCAACTGCAGGCACTTCATTTCAGCTGAAGAGCTCATGTTGAAGAGCTGTCTCAGGTTAGTGGGCAT